CATGCGACATATGCAACGAATGCGACGTATGCGACTTGTCCCACCAGTTTGTGTTCCGGAAGGAACGTGACCAGTCAGTCACATTACTTGTCACGGTTTCTCTTCCTTATTCCCTTCTTCACAGTATGAACGCGAAATATATTTACGGCATTTTGCCGTAATTTAGTAATTACTCCCGGGTATTACCTGGTTATATCTACCCGGATATCTGATTACCCGCGGGTAACCCGGGTAATACCCGACCCGGGTACAAACACTATCATCGACAATCTTTTTTTTTATACGATATAAAAAAAAACGCTAGTCTATGACCGACCAATCAAAATTTAAGATCAGGTGTAACGTGAAAATCACGATTTTTTTCACTTACAAAATTTTGGGTTAGAAACGTCTTCGCTATTGCATATTGATAACCCTAACCCTAATATAACCTTGGCCATAACCCTAAACTTAATGCGTCGTTGTTTTTTTATTGGTTTGATTTCACTGATTGGTCGGTCATATGACTAGCGATGCATCGCATTGGCGATGAATGATAATTATCTTTATCTAAATTAGCATTAATTTATGTTTAGTTACCAATTTCGGGTGTTGATGTGGAGCATAGTTTTTCTACATATAATAGAATTTAGCAGATAACAGACAAAATTTGTCTGAAAATTCTATTGGTATGCTAAATTTTTTGAATTTCAATAAATAAATAAAATTTAAAAAAAATCGCATTATTTATGATCATTTTGCATAATTTCGGGAGTGATTAGCATCGGGCACATAATTTGGACCAATCGCATCACATAATTCGGCCTTTCATTTCGCATAATGCTGAGGTCCCTAGCGTCAATCATCTGACTATAATATGGGACGTCTAAAGCGGAGTAGGTTACACAAACCGATAAAATTATTGTTAACTTTAGGGTTAGGGTTAGGCCTGGGTTAGTGTTAGGGTTAGCAGGTATATAGGTAAAATTATCTTCCCGACATTTTTTATTAGTGCATCAAGACAGGTTTAGATAGCCGTTTTTTTGTATTTTTGCGTTTTTTATTTTTTTTGCTTCGCTGGGCTGATCCGGGTCAACAAAAAATTCGTGATTTGATTGGTTAATTCACGTGATTCTACTCTGACCTCCTATAATGCAAAAGTTTCAAAATTGATAGGTCAGCGGTTACATTTTTGATAGATCTACGATGTACTCGAAATTTGATTACGTTCTTGATGCACTTTTAATAAAATATTTCTGAAATTTGAGCGAAGATACCTGAATAACTACTCGACCAAATTCGATGAATTTTTTTTTTGTTTTAATTCTATGGATATATGGAATTCAAATAAAAAAAATTCATCGACTTTGATTGGGCGGTTGTTGAAATATCTTCGCTCAAAGTTAGTAAACAAATTCAAAATATCAATTCGTGCCAAATTTTTATAAACTTTGAGAATATTTCGACAACCGCCTGACCAAAATCGATGAAATTTTTTTTATTTGAATTCTAATATTTGTAGAATTAAACAAAAAAAAAAATCATTGAATTTATTGAGATATCTTCGTTAAAAGTTTAAGAAAAAATTTGGCGCACTTATTTTAATAGACGTTTTGAATTTGTTTACTAACTTTGAGCGAAGATATCTCAACAACCGCCCAATCAAAATCGATGAATTTGAATTCCATATATCCATAAAATTAAAAAAAAAATTCATCGAATTTGGTCGAGTAGTTATTCAGATATCTTCGCTCAAAGTTCAGAAAATATTTTATTAAAAGTGCATCAAGAACGTAATCAAATTTTGAGTACATCGTAGATCTATCGAAAATGTAACCGCTGACCTATCAATTTTAAACTTTGATTTTTTTGGTAGTGCAAAAATCACGTGAATAGTAGGTGTCCAGAGTCACAAGTTGATCAGAGACGGTCGTTCCAAGAAGGGAAATCAAGAGGCCGGGAAAGAAAGTCATTCTAATGTACGTACCAACCAAAGGAGCCACAATCACCGGAAGTAAGGTCCGTAATAAGGTTGCCAGATCTAACCATGTTTCCAATTCAATCGAGAAACAGAAAAAATGCTCAATGATTGAGAATATCAGGTCTCGCAGTGAATATTTACGAAAATATATACCTTATTTGGTATTGTGTAATAAATTTATATAAAAGTACATATTAAAAAAAAAAAATTTTGACAATTTAATCATTTATAGCAAGTTTTTATTAAATATATGCGCGTACGTACTCATATTTTATATATAATTTTCCAAAAAAAAAAAAATTTTGACGTCTGTCCCAATAAGGTACTACAAAAAAAACTACGTTAGAAGTTAGCCTCAGGAATCTTATAATAATTTTTTATTACTCTATCAGGATCAGTACCACCGATCTATTAAGAATAGTGGTTTTGCTGAACAGTGGACCAAATGGACAGCGCATTGTTGAAAAACGCATTGATAATTTTTTTTAGATGATTATATAAATGATATCATATTAAGACATAAATGAAAGAAGATTGTTGTGTTTCGTGAGATTTAGAATTTTTTCGATTAGATACTTTGAAACTGTGTACAACTAATTGATGTGGTCATGGGATAAAATAAGATTACTAATTATTATTTTTTTTTTACGAAAGAAATTATAAAGTTAAAAAGAATCTTCTTACACATGATAATTTATGTAGACTCCATTCATTAATTTTCCATTTTTCCGTAATAGAAATCTAAATTTAAACATATAAATGACAGCATTTAATGTCATGAAAAACCGGAATATTAAAGGCGGCGTACAGTATAGTGCACGAAAACATTCGATCAAAGACAAAGAAAAAATTTTTTTATTCTAGTTAATAAAGTAATTTGTATTAACGTTAATGATGTTATTAAGCTAAAAGAGGTTAATCTTTTTTAAAAATCCATAATGACTAACGTTAAACATGACAGAATAGTCACCCAAATCACTTTTTTTGATAATCGACAGTTTAAATTTGGAAATTTCAATGATTTTATAGACATTTCTCTTTTTTTCTACTTCCATTTTCAAAAATATTTGAAGAAAAAAATGTATATTATGAAAGTCACACGAGCACGTTTACATCGTACGCTTATATAGTCCTGTAGTCAGGTCTTTGATCTCTTGTGCTCACCAACATTCTTTTCAACATTCTTCTCTCTAACATTCTTTGAATTCTTTTTATTAAAAGATTACTTTTACTTCGAAAAAACATTTTAATATCTACATTATCGACGACTATTTATTAATTAATTACTTATTTCTACAAAAATTCTACATTTATTAATGTTATCTGAATTGCAACTTACACATCCCCAAGTATTATTACATTTATTCCTTTTTTATCTGTCCTTTCCTCGTAGGCAAATATGCATTGGTCGAAGGAAGTAAGTGTCCTTTTTGTATTTACTATCAATGATAATGAAGCTTTTTTCACAAAGTTTTGAAACGTGAATGTTCTTGGTTTTTATTTGCGATGCTTGTTTTCGAAAATTATAATGTGTTATCATATTTAGATACTGAATTATATGATAAAATTTCTTCCTAATAGGAAATTGCTGATTTTGAGAATATAGTTACTAGCCTAGGTCAAGATAAAGTAGATAATATGGATTGGGATTTAATATATAGTAGATGGGTCGAACAAAATGGTTCACTTCGTACAAAAAAACAACTTCAAGAAAAGTAAGTCGTAATTTTAAACTTGATTTTTTTTTTTTTCTTGATTCTTTATATCAATTGTAATACTCGATCTTATGATTTTAGATGGCGAAATTATTTAAAAGTTGATGGTACTTTATTTTCTTTATTTTAATACATGAAACATTTTTTATACGTTATTGACTGATTTGTATCGTTTCGCGTATAGTCAAGCTAAATGATGGAGAAAGATTTGTATTTAGCCGAGAACAAGTCAATTATATTATGGAGCAACGTAATTGTCGTAAAAGAGGTTGGTCCGAAATAAGAGAAGATTTAAATAAAGAACCATCTATGACTGTGAAAACAACCCCAAATCGAGTGAAGAATGCATACCATAATGAGACTAAGAAACGACTTAGGCTTGAGAGACAAAATCTACCAGGTTAATTGAAATTTATTTTTAAAGATTGAGACTTGTTAGGTTATTCGTTTAAAGTGAAAAAAAAAAAATTAATATTTATTAATATTTATTATTTTTATAATTGATTCTGCAGTAAATAATGAAATGGTAAAGGCAGTTTCTAATGTAGATAGCAGAGCGACAGAGTCCTATGGAGATAGTGAAGCGACAGTAGATAGTGAAGCGACAGATTCTACCGATGACAAAGGGTCACTATCTTATATTTTATGTAATGAAAAAGAAAAAAAAATCTAAAAAAAAACTTTAATAATTTAATGTCCTTTTGTATTTTTTTTTTTTTTTCCTTTTTTTTTTTTTTTTTTTATATTATTTTATATATATATATAACGATACTTTTGTTCACTTCTTCTTGATATATATTAATATATTGTTAATCATTTGTTTCTTTATTTAATAATGAGAACTTTATTATACGGGTATGCATATCGATGTACCGTTTAATCGATAATCATTTTTATTATCACGTGCTGTCTTTTTGATGTCGATATCAAATTATAATAATGTATATTGATATCACACATGTTATTGGTAATTAAAGTTTTATATCATTCATAATATATTCATGAAGATGTTAATTGTATTGTATTCTATATTCAGATTAAATGCTAAAAGCATTTATTAAAATAATTTTCAATAAATTTTTTAATGGTATAAATAAAGTTTAATAAAAAAGGACTGGCGTAATTCCTTTAACCTTAATTGACATTTATAACCATTTAGCACTGCATAAATCCCAAAATATAATACATTCCCTACCGCATAAAGTATTTTACCGATGAAAAATCATTAGATTCATGAATAGAATCCAGTACTATTCAAATTTTAAATTACAATTCTTGAATTAGTCTAGGGATTGCCGGACTGGTCTCTTGAATCAGTTCACGGTCCATAAAAATTAGTATCAATCTAACTAAATCGGTCCATAATAGCGACAATAATAAATTTATACTTAAGTGAACTTCCCTGTATTATTAAGTTAAAATCGACCATCTCTACTGATATTTGATAATATATGAGTACCTTATGTTCATTCTTTCAACTCTATCTTCATTAGATAGCAACATTATGTATCATCATACTCATCTCTTCTGACATTTGATACTTTAATAATGAATATTGTATGTTCGTTCATTCTTTTTTAACTTTAATTCCCATTACGATATAGTAGTAATACCTAAGACTATACTATACGCTTCACTGTCATTCCCAATTCTTTTTAAGATTATGCAATTCAAATTTTTGGATTTCAGATTGATTTAAAAAATTTTCCTAAAATTTATTATAGTTTAAATTCTACACTTCTATTGGTTGGTCTGGTCCTAGACCCGACTGAATTAGGACTGGTATAATTGATTGGACCTGGTACACACCTACAGACCAGACCGTAACATCCCTAACTACTAAACGATAATAATTTAATTTAAAAACATTGAATTCAAAAAAAATAAAATAAAATAAAATAAAAAAACATATAAGTTAAGAATATATCTAAGAAACACAGTCTAAGAATACAAGCGAAAATTTAACGACATTGATGGCATAACAATAAGACAACGACAAGACAACAATTCGGATCTTTTATTTAATAATCGACATATAATGCCTAAACACTAACCATTTTATCGACAACCCATTTTTGTGTAAGAGAAACTACTATAATAAAACCCGAAGTGACAAATCCGGGTTTCCTTATTTAAATTATTGCTGAACTGGGTTTAACAAGTAAGAAATAGACATCTTTCTGCGAATAATTTCCGAAGGAGGATTTTGTTGTTGCTGATTATTTAAAAGCGAGATAATATTCGTTTGTTGTTGATTCCAACCAAACAAAGGAAGGGCTTGTTGTTGTTGGTTTATTCTCATCGAGCTATAAAATATACTTTAAAAGTTAGTAATTTTAAACAAATTTTTTTGTTTAAATCAAGAAATTTGTGAATAATAAGCACAATTTCCAAAATCAATAAAAAAATTTATTTTGAATTGTCTCTTATATGCACAATATTTAGTTATAAATACCGAATTTGATTCACTTTAAAAAAAAAATTTTTTTAGCGTTAGCATTATTAAATGTGTGTAAGCAATTTGGGGGTCACGTGATATATACCTCTTTTTCTTTGTAAATTATTCCAATGGTTACGAATCATAATGGGGCTGAAACCGGGAAAAAAGGTTGCAATTTGTTTCCACTGACGACCATGTTGCCTATGAAGTTCTTGAATTCTTCGAGACTCAAATGGTGTGATTTTACGTCTGTTAACTAGAATAAAGATTTTATTGATTAGAAATGTTGAAAAAAAAAGATGTCAAAGAACATAAAAATTGAAATTAATATATACTGGCAGGATTTTGGTGATTTAGGTAACTAAATTCATGTCAATATTAAATATGTAAGTTTTTTTTAAAAAAAAAAAAAATTTTAAATAAAAAATCATTTAAATGCATTTACATTATATATTACTTACTGTTCACGAATTTGACGTTGATCTCGTGTTTCCATATGCTGTGCAATTAATCTCCAGTTATTACAACCATGATCTTGGATAAGTGATTGTAGTCGTTGTTTCTCCTGTTAATAGATATAGAAAGATTATAATATGTTGCTATGTGCGAAAGAGTTAAATAACTATAATTACTTGTTCAGTCCAACGGCCTCTTCTTTTCTGCGTGCTCATGAAAATTATTATAGTTTACAGTATTATAAATTCTAAATTCTCAGAATGACTAACATTCAACTAATAATAAATTTAAGCTTCTTAATTTTAAGTTGAAAATATATAACAAAACATGAAATAATAGGATATTTTCATTTTTAATCAATTTGGTCGACTAAAAATTCAGAAAAAAAAAAACGGTCGAAATTGAAAACAGTACGACCGAGAAGGTAATCGCTATTATATATTATTTTATCACGTGAAATTGCGACTCCCCCAATTTTTTTTTTTAGAGAGAATAAATTAGGTGAATTCATTGTTATTGACACATGAATATATTCACCATACATCTTGACTTATTTGATTGTATAAAAAGTACGTGAAAATAAGTAATCTACATATATTGATCCTAAAGTAATATCGACCTGCAACATGTGAAAAGAATACAATCGATCATACCAATCTGTCTTGTACAACAGAATAATAAAGTTCTCTCTTTATTAAGATATAAATTGATTTTTTGTACTAAATATATTAGTTTGAGAATCGAATTTTGAACTCTTACCTCGGTTACTCACTTAAATCATATTTTATAAAGATAATTTATCGTTTACAACGCTTAGAATTCATCAAGTAAAAAGCATCGCGCTTATCTCGCATATTTAAACATTTTCTACTTTCCTTATTCATCCAAATTAACAATTATGTATTTTTTTCTTATTAAATCCATCAATTAATGTGTAACCCAACAAATATTAAGGAGAGTAGAAGGCCGAGCTGAAATGGACGCGTCGCATCAGTTTAAAAGATGAATCACAGATATCTGTTTAACTAGATTAAACATAAAACCTGTAAGTATTTATCCATATATAATATAATACTATAGATATATATTGAAATAACACGATTATAACGTACTGTACATAAATCCTTTTGATCAATTCGAAACTTTTTGCGAATATTTTTCATTTACTATCAATAGATTCTAAAATATAAGAATTAAGAATATAAACATAATTATTAATTCTGGGTAATGAAAACGCCATTTTGCTACCATAAATTAAGGAGGAATACTGATTATTCTTTTTTTTGTTTATTTGGTGAATTCACCTTTTAAATATTTTATGAGCCAAATATTTCATTCATTTCATTTCTAGAATTATAAACCAAGCTTGGACGAACGAAAACTGATCCAAAAAATTTCACAAAAAAAAAAAAAAAAAAAAGGAAAAAAATAATAGATGCCTCGATACGATGCCTCACCTGATCGGATTAACCTGCGGAAAATTTTAAATAAAGTTTATTCTATATATAAAAGCAAACAAACCAATTGAGGAATATAATGGTTAACAATACAGTGAACATTCATTCAGACATTCAGATTTTTTTTTAAAGGGTTGCTTTTATCTGAAAAAAACAAAAAAAAAAAATAGATAAAAAATAGATCACCGCATATCTTATCTACCGTACATGCTAATTATTTCTTTGAAAAGTATATTTTAATGTTTTGCACGAAATAATCTACCGATCCCCAATGAATTGACTAAATTAACTATTATTTACAACTTATTATATCTTTATTATTATTTTTATTATTTTTTTTAATAAAAATTATCTTGAGTAAATATATCAAATAAAGATTTATTATCTAAATATGTTATCGAATTTTGAACACGCGTGACGTTTCATTTGGCACGTGTTGATTAGCTGAGCTGATTGATTGTCTATCAAACAGGAGGAGATGAAAACGCCATATCTCTTGTCTATCTTTCGCATTTTCTGTCATTGTCTTATGTGTACGCATACACATACACACGCATACATACATACACAAAAGATACACAAAACCGAATATGTACTACCGAGTATAAAATTTAACTAAAATTTGCCTAACCCACATGTTGTCCATATGACCAATGTAAGTCCTTGCAGGCACGCCCGATTTTTTTTATAATGATAACGATAACGATAACGATAACGTAATAATTTTGGATTTGGACCGCATAATCGTTAAGAAATTAAATGTCATAACTCAGGCCACGTCGCACGACTTTAAATTTTTGCCCAAAATTTCAGTTCTTGGCAATAATCCTGTGTATAAAACGTGCATAAAAATTTCTAAAATTTTGAACTTTCCCCAAAAAATTATGGATTCGGCGTCCCTGGTGCTAATTTTAAATTGTCCGACTTGTTGGGGTTAGATTATTATTTGGTGATATTGTTACGTTGTGTGCTAAATTTGATCCTCGGTCCCGTGATTCTGATACCAAAGTTTCAATTTTGATATATCTGCGGTTATTTTTTTGATATACGCAGATGTTACACTAAAATTTATGATAACAAATACGATTATACTTATCGTTATAATAAAAATTTCAAGAATTAGAGTGAAGATATTACTTTAATTACCTATTAAAATTTAATATTTTTTCTTTTAAATTGATTATAAAAAATATAAGCTGCGCCAAATTTTTTTAAAACCTTGAGCGAATATATCTCGACAACCACCCGATCAAATTAGATTAATTTTTTTTTTTGTTTGAATTCTATGAATCTCTATAATTTAAATAAAAAATTTTCATCGAATTTGGTCAGGTGGTTGTTGTGATATATTCGCTCAAAGTTTAAAAAAAAAAATTTAACAGCTTCTATTTTAATAGACGTTTTGAATCGTTTACTAACTGAGCGAAGATATCTCGATAACTACCGATCAAATTTGATGAATCTTTTTTTTTGAATTTTATGAATCTTTAGAATTCAAATAAAAAAAATTTCATTGAATTTGGTCAGGTGGTTGTCGAGATATCTTTGCTCAAAGTTACAAATAATTCAAAACGTCTATTAAAATAGAAGCTACGCTAATTCTTTTTTTAAAACTTTGGGCGAAAATATCTCGACAATACCTAATTAAATTCAATGAAAATTTTTTTATTCGAATTTTAGAGATTCGTAAAATTTTAACAAAAAATTTTCATTAAATTTGGTCAAGTGATTGTCAAAATATTTTCACTCAAAGTTTTTAAAAAATTTGACACAGCTTCTATTTTGATAGATGTTTTGAATTATTTACTAACTTTAAGCTAAGATATCTTGACAACTACCTGATCAAATTTAATGAAAATTTTTTTATTAAAATTTTAAAGATTTATATAATTTAACAAAAAAAATTTCATTGAATTTGATCAAATAGTTGTTAAGATATTTTTGTTTAAAGTTTTAAAAAAGATTTGGCACAGTTTTTATTTTGTAGATTTTTTTTTTTTAAGGTTAGCTTATATTGCTGAAGTGATTTTATTAGTTTTATATACAGAGTTATATGTAAATAATCTTTATTAGTTTGTAATTATATGAAGAGTATATAATAAGTTATATGTACAACTTTAGTTATTATTAGTCTGTTGTATAGATATTAAACTACTTGATTAATTTTATACTATATTACTATACTTATAACTTATCTGTGAGTTATCTATTTAAACATTCTGTTTAACTAATCTATATTATTACAAACTAATGTTACTATAATATTTAACTGTTTAAATTAATTAGCTCATTACAAATCTATTTATTTACTTTAGTTTAAGTCTTTTTTTTTTTTTAATAGTTATTATTAAGTTATTAACTTCAAATTACATATAATTATATAATCTATTATTCAATATCCTACAAAATATAAACAAAGTATTGCTATTCAAATAGCTTAGGTATACTGAGACAAAAGCAGTACATATCTTCAAAAACTCAAATAGAAATAATAACAGTTATGCATCAGTTTCTTTTAAGAGCTAGAAAGAAATAATATGAGTACAAAAATTTAGTATCAACTATTACAATACAAAGCTATTTTGAGAAATACCTGAAGTAGTCACAAGTGAAACATATTGTTTAGAAGAGGAAAATCAGCAAGAATACTACAGACACAATCAACAAATAATAAGCTCAGGAAGAAAAGAATCAATCCAAAACAGACAAGATTCTGTGCAAAAAAAAGGAAAATTTAACTCAGTATAAAAAAATGAAATAATAAATAAGTTATATACAAGATTAGAGAAAGAAAAAGCCTTCTCTACTAAAGAACGAAATAAGAAGTTCTATAAAGAAGATGACTATACAGAATCTCTTTCATATATAGTACAATAAATACAGTACCTAAAAAGAAAATTAAATAACTTTGAGAGCAATTAGGAATTAGAAGCCTCAAATTACTTCTAATATTAGCCAAAGTTGAATTAATAAAAGCTCTTGTCTACTAAGAAAGAAAACTTGAAGGACAAAATAAAGCAGAATTAAATTAAAACCAAAAAAAAGAAGAAAAAAGAAACAGAAAGAAGAAAAAGGAAGAAACAGAGATACAAGAAGTAGTGCAAGCTACAATATATATACTAGAAACAAAAAGAGAGAAAGTATAAAAATAGGAACATACAATATCAATAGAATAAAAGGAGATAATATAAAAGTAGAGCAACTAGCAGAGTTTGGTAAATCAGAAGAGTATAATATAATTAAAATTATTAAAACTAATATAGAAGAACCAAAAGGCAAATAGATAAACACAAAGAAATATGGGTACTCAAGCTTTTGAACTGAAACAGTAAAAGGTAAAAAGAAAAGATCAGAAATTAGATTACTAGTTGATCAAAATTAGATGAAAAATCTAAGAGTATGTAGAAAATATAGCTTATACTTGCTCAAGGCTAAATTTTTCTTTAGAAAAATAATTTTGCAAGTCTAGATAGTCTACCTTCTACTTAAAAATCTAGAAGTAATAAAAAAGGTATACAAAATCTTAATAAAAGAAATTATTAAGAATAAAAAGAATATGCATTATATAGTTTTAAGAGATTTTAATACAGTACTAAATGAAAGATTAGATATAAGCAGAGAAAGAAAAAGAAACATAGATTGTAGAATCAAAATTATAAACTGGCTTAAAAATACTGACTATGTAGAAGTTTTTTATTTTTGTAACCTAAGATTATCTAAGTATTCATAGTCAAATAATAAGGTATCAACTAGAATAAACCATATATAGACAATACAAGATATAAAAAGTTTCATTTTAGATAGCAATATAAATGAAATGGAGACAATTACGAATAGTGATCATGAACTAATTTGAGTAAAACTAGATAGTTTGAGTTTTTTAGAAAGAAAAAAATAAAGAAGCAAAAAGGAACTAAAAGAAACAAGAAGACTTTACTAATACTACAAGATAACAAAAGAAAATTGGAATGATTATAGTCAAGAAGTAGAAAGAGTAATTAAAAATATAAAAAAAGAAAAGAAAAAGAGAGAAGTAAAATAAACAGAGAAGCAGAAATAAATATTGATGAAGAGTGGGAAACAATCACAAAGACAATACAGGTAGCAACAAGCAAGTATATTCTATCAATTAAAACACAAGACTCCAAAAACTAGATAAAGAAAGAAGTGACTAAGTTCTTAACATACAGTAGAGCCAAAGTTCTAGGAAGAATATATAGAAAAAGAGCTAAGGCTACAGAACAAAGTATAGATAATCTCAAGAAAGCAATATTAGATACATATATAAAGTACCTAAATACAGAATACAAAATCTGTATACTATATCTGCCTGAGCTCTAAAATATACAATACTGCAATAAGATAAGAGAATAGTAGAATCTACTCAAAGAAAAAGCATGAAAGGAACTACAAGCTGAAAAAGAAAAAGAAATAAAAGAAAGAATAGAAAAGAGATTCATATTAATATTTAGAAACCAAAAGCAAATGCTCAACAAGCTTCTCGAATACCCTCATAATAAAATTATAGTTAATAGAGTATTAGTTCAGAGTAAAAATAAGTTCAAAAACAAGAAATTAGTTACAGAAAGTGATAAGATCAAAAGAGAAGTAGTAAAGCATTTTGAAGGTTAATTCAGAAAAAGAAATCATAAGTCAAACAAATAAACTATGAATGAGCAAAAATTTATAAAAAACAAGGAAAAATTGATCAAAACTAGTATACAAGTATTATGAGCAAAGTAACTGAAGATGAATGAACAGAGATTACTGATATGCTAAAAGAAGATATAGTACCTAGTATCTTAGAAATTAGCTACAAACTCATTAAAAAAGTAAGCATAAAAACTAAAGAATATTTTATAAAATTTGCAAACTGAATAATATACGAAGATAAATTCTTTAAAAAATAGAAGCTAAGACAAATATATTTAATTTCTAAAAGTACAAATTAGGAATTTAACTTAGCAAGTACTAGGCCAATAATGCTACTTGAGACTTTTAGAAAACTTGTAGTCAAAATAGTACAAAAAAGTCTAAGTAAAGTATTTGTTGAAAAAGATATTCTAAAAGGTGCAAACTTCACAAGACTCTCTAATGAAAGTACTATAGCATCTATATATGTCCTAAACAATATTATTGAAAATATAATTCAGAAAGAAAAAGATTTGTAAATAGCATTTTAAGATATATAAAAAGCCTTTGATTCAGTTAGCATATATGCTTTAGAACTCACAATGAGAAAAATAAAATTGCCAGAAAATCTAATCATTTTCATCAAACAAATATTCCAAGATCATAAAATAAGAGTGATAACAGATGAAGGCCTAACTGATTTTTTTGTAACTAGTAATAGTATAGACTAAGGGGAAGTAATCTCATCATTAATATGAAAAATCTTTTACGATTCACTACTAGTAAGAATATAGCAACTAGGAATAGGCTATCAGATAGAACTCCAATAGCTAGTAGATAATAAGAAAAGAAGATTCAAAATTTAAAAAGCTATAGTCTCAGCACTTGCTT